CAGGTCTGTGTTCTCTGTGAGGGAGTCACTGCCCCGAGCTCTTGGGTGTTCTGAGACATCTCCTTGACCTTTTAGAGAACAGCATATGGTCTGGTAGTGAAACGGTGTTTGCAGGAGAAAAGAAGAAAATCATGCTGAGCATCCCTCGTCTTAAAATCCAAAATAAAAAGTACTCCCAATCCAAAACTTTTGAGCGCCTTACATGACACACAAAGGAAATGCTCATTGGAGCATTTTGGATTAGGGATGTTCAACCAGTAAGAATAAGGCAAATATTCCAAAATCAGAAAAAATCTGAAATCCGAAACATTTCTGGTTCTAAGCATGTTGGATAAGAGACACTCACCCTCTACAAGAATAGAGTGAGATTGACAGAGAATGTGAAGCTTTCAGAGAAGGGGAGGTAATGGTCAGGAAAAGCCTTCAGGGGCAGGTGGGAGTTGAGAGCCTTGAAGGATAAGAGGACTCTGTGATCATTTGCACACTGGGCTGAGTTGAATATTTGTCATGCTGTGCGGAAAGTGCTTCTGAGTATACATGTGATTTCAGGCAGAGTGAGACTGTCATGCCTGGCCTCCACATTTACACCGTGTAAGAGAACATTCTTTATTTTAGACTTTGGTAGCTAACATTTAAAATGGTTTCATTTAGGCCAGTATTGCCAAGCACATTTCACAAGATGAGGAAACTGAGGTCCAGAACGAAGAGGGAGCTTTCCCAAGGCTACAGACTAGCATAGTGGCTCTGGATCTTTTGGGGGTCAGGCACCTCTTTGAAAATTGGATAAATGATAAATGCAGTAGTTTGCATACAACACTGGAGGGTTCATGGCTTCTCTAGACTCATTCATGGGAGTCTGTGGACCTTGGATCCTGCAGACCTTGGATCCTGCATATGAACAGATGAGTCTGTGGACCTTGGATCCTGCAGACCTTGGATCCTGCATATGAACAGATGAGCTAGGATCAGAATCCAGCTTTGGCCTCTCAGCCTAATTTTCTCTCCTCCCCACCAGCCAGCCTCCTGTTTTTGTTAGAGCAGGTCTGGCCTACTTTGGAGCCCTGGCCTGTGTTTTGCTTCAGGCAGCTTTGTGCCTTGTAAAACATTCTGGGATTCAGACTTTCAGTCCTCTGGCTGGTCTCTCCCACACCTGATGGAGGTTAGTGTCGTTGAGTGTGCTGTACAGACAGAGCCTTTCTTTGGGGGGTGGTTTATATAGAAAGCCCTGGATATGGAGCCCGAAGACATGGTCTGAGCCCTGGTTCTGTCCTTTACTGGATGAATGAAGGCAAGTCTGATCCATGTTCCAGGCACCAACACCAGCCTAGGGATGAACATAGAAAGAGATGTGTGTGATGGAGTATTTCTGTGGCTCTGCCCGTCCTCTGCTGCGGATCCCCATGCTGGATTTCCAGGAGTTTCTTATATGTGCTCCAGGAACTGGCAGTCCTGGCCACTCATATCAGTTGCTGCCCTCCTTTCCTGCCCTGCTCTCCTGCTCCTGCTCACCAGGGTGATGGGTCCCTTTGCTTCCAAATTTGGAAGGGCAACAGTTTTGCCAGCCATACCTATTGCAGCTAACATGTGCTGCAAATACCTTCCCAAGGTACATCTGTGCCAAGGCCTCTGCAGCTGAAGGGTTAATAGCACTGCTCACTGTACTGAAGGTGCCTTCTGCAGAAGCTGCTGGCTCCATGCTGCTGATGCCCTGGGCACTCATTGTCTCCAGAGAGCAAAGGAAAGCAACAGTGTCTTTTGTTAGATTTTTTCCTCAAGACCTCTACCCACAACCCAGCATGGGTGCAGGGCCTGGGCTGGAGGATGGTATGTGAGATGCAGCAACCTAGGGCTGTGCTCAGGACAGCCGCTAGCCCTGACCCAGGCTTGGGCTCCTCCACTCTTTCCCTCTTGAAATGAGATATCTAACCTGAGAGGCCTTGATGTTTCATGTAAATATGCCCTTGGCAAGGCTTCTCCAGGCCTGCGTGAATCCTTGGGGACACTCAGAACCCCCGCTCCAGCACCCTCAGTGCTTTCTTCTCTGTGCAGGGCTTGGCAAAGATTTGCTGTGAAGGGGTAGACAGTGAATGTGTTAGGCTATGCAGGCCATATACCATCTCTGCACTGCTGGTTCTCCTTCTACTCCTCCTCCTTTATCTATTTCTCTATTTTGGTACTTTACAAATGTAAAAACTATTACTTGCTCATGGGCTGTACCAAAACAGGCCACAAGCCAGATTTGACCCATGGGCTGTGTTTGCCAACTCCTGATCCATAAGATGGGGAGATATCACCAGGTGGGACTGGAGTAGTCTGGGAGGGCCTCCTGAGGAGGGGGGTCTTAAGCTAGGTGGAGAGTTTGGCAGCACTGTTTAGGGAGGGGAGACTGACAGCAATGGTGCAGAGACTGGAAGGAGCTGGTTGTTTCCACAGAGAGTGGTTAGGACACCAGTTTGGCTGGAGCAGAGGTTCCTAAAATGAAATTAGAAAAAGAGGCTGGGGGAGGGAAGCAGCAGCCAGATTACGGAGGTCCTTGAGTCATCCCAAGAGGCTTGAAGCATTATTCTAAAGTCAGTGGGGAGCCATAGAAGGTTCTTGAGCATCACTCAACCACAGCTTCTTCAGCCCTCCCAGGTGGAAGCATGTCCATACCAGCCACAGTTGCATCAGGATTTGGAGGGCGTGTGGGGACGGGGCAGGGGGAACTTAGGTGAGTTTTATCTATGGTGTTAGGACCCAGTGAGGGTGAGAGCTCCCTGTTCACACCTTGGAGCCAGACAGTGCTGTCCTCAGGGTCGTGGGGGCCAGGCATGACATTCTCATTCTCTCCATTTCCCTTCCCAGGGCAGCCCATGACATTCCCCCCCGAGGCCCTGTGGGTGACTGTGGGGCTGTCTGTCTGTCTTGTCGCACTGCTGGTAGCCCTGGCCTTTGTATGCTGGAGAAAGATCAAACAGAGCTGTGAGGAGGAGAATGCAGGTGAGTGAGAGAGAATGTGTGTTGGGTCTGTCACTGTGTGCATGACATCAACAGAGTATCACTTTCTAGTGGCAGAATGCGTGTGGGTGTGCAGATGGGGCTAGATTGTGTGCGTGTGAACTTGAGTCTGAAAACGTCTTGTGTGTGTGAGCAAGTATGAGCCTGCCGGCCCTCGTGCAAATAAGGCAGGATGAGTGTGATATGAGTGTGGCCAGAAGTAGTGGGTGTGTAAGGCCGAAGTGTGTCAAAGGGATGAGTGTGTCTGCAAGCAAGTGTGGCTGTGAGAGTGTAAGTCACACAAGTGTGTCTGCGAGTGAGAGGGTGGGTCTGACAGCATGAAGTGGATGTTCCATTGGTATGTATGTCACTGGGTTTGCCCCTCTGGTACCTAGAGTCCGGAGCAGCTGCCATTTGCTGGGCCGAGGGTCAGTGCAAGTTGACTTTGGAGAATGGTAAATGGGTGGGAGGACATTGGCGGTGGATGAGTTGACCCTGGTGAGTGGCTAGTTGACTTTGGTGAGTGATTAGGTGGGTGAGTTGACCCTTGTGGATGGTTAGTTGACTCTGGTGGGTGGGTGAGTTGACCCTGCTGGGTAGCATATAGGTAAACAGAGGCATGAGAGTACACGGGTAGCCAGGGGCTGGGAGATGACTAGGTCTCAGGAAGGAGTGTGGAGAAGGGATTGGTGAGCTGACAGATGGGGGAGTGCCTGTGCAGTGAACGGTTGAGTGGGCTGGTGGAAGGATGAGTGGACAGGTGGCTAGGGAAGTGTATATGTTGGAGGGTGATGGTTGACTGGGGCGCTGAGCGAGTGGATGGGGGAAGTGACGGGGTTGGTGGGTTGGTGGAGGGCTGGGTAGATGGGCCTTGTCCAGGTGAGTGGTGGGCTCCAGGCTTCGAGTCCTTTCATCCTGTCGCAGGCTCTGCTCGGGTCTCAAGCTCCAACCCTGTGTCCAGCATTTGGACCACAGGTCAGGCCTGCTCAGACCCTGCTTACCTGCCTCCTAGTCTGCCAGGTGAGGAAGTGCAAGGATGAAAGTGGGGCCAAGGAAGGCTTTTGTTCATTCTGAGTTCTTGTCTTCCAGGAGCTGAGGATCAGGATGGGGAGGGAGAAGGACCTAAGACAGGTGAGTCTGAGCTTGGAGCTGGCTCGCTTGGCTGGGGGAGGGACACAAGGGACAGGAGAGAGGATTCTAAGATTTAGAGGGGCCAGATCTGCTTTAAGGTTTGAATGAAGTGTCTCCTCTGGTCTGAGGCCTCTAACCCAGGTGAGTCTCCTCTGCTCAGAGTTAGGCCTGGACGTAGAGCTCCCAGTTCTCTCCCGGGTGCTGCTTCCTTTCTCCTGCCGACCTTTATCCATCCAACCTTTATCCATCCACCAGAACTGATTCCACCTGACTGACCCTGCACTGTGGAGGCTGGTGGCTTCCAAGGAGTGGGATCAGGGGCGCTGGAGACAGGGCAGTCTGGGTTTAAGTTTCAGCTCTATCTCATATGAACTGAATGGCCTTGAGTAAGTCACTTTACCTCTTTGGCCTCAGTTTCCTCATATGTAAAATGGGCATACTAACAGGCTCATAGATTGTTTGGATTAAATTAAATGAGATAATGTATATAAAAGACACAGAACCATACCTGGTGCATAGTAAGTGCTCAGTACATTGGCTTCCTGTCATTATTAGGCAGACAGCTTAGGACGTTCCTGTTGTAGTTGGAGGTTGTATACCTCTGGGCAATGTGCTTTGCTCCTCTGGGCTTCAGTTTTCTATCTGTAAAATGTTTTTTTTTTTTTTTTTTTAAAAAAAGATGACTGGTAAGGGGATCTTAACCCTTGACTTGGTGTTGTCAGCACCACGCTCACCCAGTGAGCAAACCGGCCATCCCTATATAGGATCCGAACCCGTGGCCTTGGTGTTCAAGGGTTAAGACCCCCTTACCAGTCATCTTTTAAAAAAAAAAAGAAAACTGAGGCCCAGAGAGGGGAGTGACAAGCTACAAAGTGGAGCTGGGACTTGGGACAGCAGCCTAGGACCCCCTCTGATGTCCCCACCCTGATGACTTCTTCCTCCTGCCTCTGTCCTCTAGCCCTCACTACTTCCTCCTGACTCCCTGCCCTTCCATTTTCCATCATTCCTCCCTTACCACGTGCTCCTTCCTTTTTTGCAGCCCTGCAGCCTCTGAAGCGCTCTGAAAGCAAAGAAGGTAAAGACATGTGGTGCTTGAGATTATGCGTCTGTGTGTTTGTGCATCTGTGTGTAGGAGGCTGGGGGGGTGGGTGGGCATCACCCTTTCATGGGTGATCTGAGGCTTCCTCCCCAGAAGAGCAGCCTCAACTCCCCCCCGGTGAGATGGCAGAGGGCTGAGTAAGGTCCCAGCTGCTTGAATAGGACCCACATATGACAGAGGCTTAACCAGGACAGGAATTTCTCTCTCCTGAAATAGTCTGAGTGCAAGTAATCTTAAGACCACTGATGTCTGGAGCCAGGTTCCATTTACCTGGATTCTGCCCCCATCAACTCAAAGCTTTTATCCATAGGTCCAAGAGGCTGCTCCAGCTCCCAGGCCACTCCAGAGGAAGGGGAAGGTACGCTTCTTTCTAGGGCTTGACTGGAAATAGCTCACATCGCTTCTGCTTACACCCACTGGGCATAACCTAGTCACATGACCCCTAGCTCAGGTGAGGCTAGAAAAGCAGTTTCCAGCCGGCAGACGTGTTCCTAGTATATAGAAAGTGTAAATGTCAATAGTCATTATTGTTCATAGTATTATAACATCCGCAGTTACATTAGGAAATGTAGGAAATGAACTGTCCCCCTCCGTGTTGCTCGGAACCAAATGAGCATAGAAGGATTGAGCAGATGGAGATCAAAATGTCAGCTTGGTGTTGAAGAGAGTTGCTGGAGAACATGGCCTGGATGGGCCAAGCACTGGGCTTCCTACTCCTGCTCCCCAGTGAGGCAGCCTAGTTCACTTTCTGGCCACACTGGACAACCACAGAGGCAGAGCCCAGATAGGAGAGCTACTTTCCTTGGCTCAGACAGAGCACAAAGGCCTGGAGAAGGGGTGCAGGGCCACAGATGTCCAGGCCCTCTTCTCGACTCTTCATTCAGGTCAGGATGTGGAGCAAGGCCAGGGGTGTGAATCTACTGCATGCCCCCCACATGGAGGCAAGTGAGGGGGAAGGAGGTTCCCTACAGCATCGTTCTTAGGGCTATCCATGTGGGAAGGGGGTGTCGGGAAAGGGATTCTTGCTAGAGGAGAGAACTGGGCCAGGCCTTGGAGGGTGGACTAGATGGAGAAGCAGGGGGGAGATGGGAAGGGAAAGAGTCACAGGTAGAGGGGCAAGAGGGAGGGAAGTGTGTGGGGTGAGTCTGGGCCTCCAGGGCATGGTTAGCACAGAGGCTGTCTGTCCGACTGCTGGGGCCAGTCTCACACACACTGTGCTCCTGAAGTATGTGACCAGGGGCCTGCTGTCATAACCCCAGAGTAGAACTTCTGGCACTTAATGCTTCTTTTTTTTTTTCCTTTTTGTCCCCTTTTTTCTTTCCCATCATGAAATGCAGATGATGGACAAGAAATTGCCTGACTGTGAGGACAGGGAGCTGCTGCCCCTGCCCTGGGTCTCCCATCCTCTGGCTGCACTGGGGCCTCACTGTGATCCCTGCCCCCAACAGATGGGCCCTCCTCTGGCAGGTCTATTCAGTCTCCAAAGGATGCAATACATAGACCACCCTGCAGCCATATTTCTGCAATGGACATGATTCCCAAGTCATCCTGCTGCCTTATTTCTTATGGACACGCTACACAGACCACCCCACCACCTTATTTTTCCAGGTTGTCCTGCTGCCTTATCTTATTTCTCCAGTGACACGATACATGAATCATCCTGCTGCCTTATTTCTTATGGACACAAACCCCACCACCCTATTCCTCCGATGTTACATGGACCATCTGGCTGCTTTTTCTTTCCAAAGAACTCAATACTCAGACTGACCCCCTGCCTTATTTCTCTGAAGACAGGATACACAGTCATCCGTTGCCTTGTTTCTCCGGTGGCCCTGATACACCGGTTATCATTTTTCAACCCTTTTACACCCACCTGCATATAATCCCATCTCCTCAGACAGAGACGCTGCAGCCTCAGCACCTCCTTGAGTCTAGAGGCCGTATCTTCCTGCCACCTCCTGTGCTGGCCCTAACGTTTGCTCCCCACTCCCCGCCAAGTGAAGACAGGCACTCCCTCCACCACACGCACAGGTATGCAGAGACATGCAGGTGCATGTGCTGGAACATGTAAGGACACCCCCCCACCAGCTCAGTCTCCTTGGTCACGCCCTGGGCTGTGCCCTGTGAGGCCCTCTCTGCCCACCCTCCCCATGGGAAGCATGTGCTGGTCACACTGGTTCTCAGGGTGTCTGCAGTGGGGTCTCTGGGGATCAGCTTCTATCCCTCTGCTTTTCCCTCTGTTGAAACTTCTGTTCCTTTCCTTTTGCTTATCCATCAAATTAATGTGTATTGAGCAACAATGGGGTGTTGGCCATGTGTTAGGTGCCAGGGGCCCTGTGGGAGAAAGCACCCCTCCCTCAAGGATCTCACCATCCAGCTGGGAAACAGACACTAACTGGGCTACAGCTGGCGTTCCCTGCGCCCTCCTCTTCTATGCCTGAAGCTTTCTGGATACCTCCCCCCATCTCATCCCGAATCCCAGCCCAGAGCATGTGGTGCGGGCAGCAACCTGGAGAGAGGGTCATAGCCACTTGCCACAACTGGAGAATCTGATGGTTCTTTCCAGGCGTGAGCAGGTGGTTAGGTGGCCAAGGTCCCCCTAGACCTTGGATAGCAGCAGTGTATGTGAAGCCTGGGGCAGGGCCAGGAGGGTTTTGGGGACACAGAGGGGACTGCCCCACCGCCATGGTGCTATTCTGGGGTGGGGCCGACACCTCCTGGCTTGTCTCTGGCCGGCACCCAGCCTCCAGTAGAGTAGAACTTCTGATGTCTTATGTCCTCCTGACGGCGTCTCTCCCTACCCCAGGAATGGAAGACATGAGCATTTCTAATTTAAATGTGGGACTCTGAGGAATTTTGTAAACTGGGGGTGTATTTTGGGAAAAATAAATACCTTTGTAAAAAACTTTTTCTCTGTGAAGTGTTTGGAAGCAGGGTGAACCTCAGGACTCAGCAGGAGGAACTCCTTCCTGGACATTTCAGGCTGGAGTAGGGATGTCTGTGTCACCTTACTCTCATCACCTTTAAATCACTGGATCTCCATGGCCATGTGGCCCCATCCCTGGCCTCAGTTTCCTCCTTGGTCAAGTGTAGTAGGTTGTCCAGAAAGCTCGGCCCTTTGGTCACCGTACGGGGCTCCTCCCACTCCTGTAAGTGTCACCCTATTTCTTTGCTTCAGAAGATTCAAATCCAGGCTTGTTTAGGGCCTCTGCTAATGTCTTCATTTTACAGGTGGGGAAGCCAAGACCCAGTAGGAAGCTGACACCAGGAGGGGAGTCCTGTCTGCATGCTGTTCTTGGCTCATGCAGGCCAGGAGTGAGGGGCATGGGCACCAGGCCAGGAGTCGGAGGTCCAAGCTCAGGACCTAGTTCTTCCCGGTGACTCTGAGCAGGGTGTTTGCCTTCTCCGGGCCTTAGTTTTCTTATATGAAAAGTGGGACTGGGATTTTAACCACCTAATACTTAAAAAGACAGAGAAGGGGGTGAATGTGGCAGGAAAACAGGGTTTCAGAGAATCAGGTTCAGGGATGCGGGAGCCCGCAGACAGAACTGTGTTCATTTGCCCCCAGATGGCAGGTTTCAGTGCTGGGCCAGCTGGTCAGTCCCAGAGCTTCACAGACCCTGAGGCAGTGGGAGGAGCCTGGGCTGGGGATCAGGACACTTGACTTTTAATCTGAGCTCCGCTACTAACTTGCAGCCATGGCCTTCATACCTCCCAACCTTAATTTCCTTATCTACGAGGGTACTTCAAAAAGCTTGCGGAAAAATAGAATTAAAAGATAATACAAATCTTTCCATGAACTTTTTTTTTTTTTTTTTTTGTC